TCCACCCTCTTGTCACACTGGTCGAGGCCTGGCAAGCCATTCCTGGAGTGTCAGGTTGGGTTTTGGGGATAATAAAGCAAGGATATTCACTCCAATTCGCTCGAAGACCCCCGCGCTTCAGCGGCGTGGTCCCCACCTCAGTGCAGAGCAGGGACGCCCATGTCCTGCGCTCAGAGGTGATGAATTTGCTGGCAAAAGGAGCCGTGGAAAAGGTTCCTCCAGCCCAGAGCGAGTCAGGCTTTTACAGCCGTTACTTCCTCGTCACCAAAAGAGATGGTGGCCTCCGACCCATCCTCGATCTCAGACACTTGAATCGTGCCCTCATGAAGAGGTCGTTCAGGATGATTACACTGAAACAGATCCTCGTGCAAATTCGCTTGGGAGACTGGTTCTTTTCTCTGAACCTGAAGGATGCATACTTTCACATCCAGATAGCCCCTCGTCTTAGGCCATTCTTGAGATTCGCCTTAGAGGGAGTGGCTTATCACGGTCCTTCCCTTCGGGCTGTCCCTGGCCCCCCGCACTTTTACGAAGTGCATGGATTGTTGAAACCACGGGTTCCATCCCATGCGTGGCGTCACAGACGCCTGCATATCAGGGTGAGTCAGGCCTGTGTATTGGCCCTGACCCCCTGGAAGAACTCCCGTTGGATGGAACAGGGCATGGCCATGGGGATGGTTCACAGAAGGACAGTTGTCATGACAGACGCCTCCAACTCAGGTTGAGGGGCGCTGTGCGAGGGCATACCGACCTTCGGGCACTGGTCGAAGGCGGAAAAAGGCTTCCACATCAACTGCCTGGAAATGCTAGCAGTATGTCGAGCCTGTCAGTTCTTCCTGCCAGTCCTGAAGGGGCACCATGTGCTAATCTGATCGGACAACATGTCTGTTGTGTCATACATAAATCGCCAGGGAGGCCTCTCTTCGAAGCGCCTCTTCATATACCGGACAAATTGAACCAAGGAGCGGACATGTTATCAAGGAGCAAGGTCCCCTCGGGGGAGTGGACGCTCCATCCGCAGACGGTTCAGAAGATCTGGGAGATCTTAGGCGAGGCCGAGGTGGACCTCTTCGCCTCAGAAGACAACTCTCACAGCCCAATTTATTTAAGCCCCACGATTGGCCCAACCTCCTTCTCTATGCTTTCCCCCCAATCACTCTGATCCCACAAGTAATCAGGCGAGTGAGGGAACAAGAACACAGGGTTCTCCTGCATTATGGCATCCTCGGCCCGACCTATGGGCCCTGCACCTCTGGCCGCTCGACGGGAGCCTTCGTGCCTCCCAGAGTGAGTCTTAAACACGATTTCGGAGTGTAGAGCTCCGTCTACGAGATGCCTCTATGCCTTAAAGTGGTCTTTTTTCTCCACCTGGTGTCTAAACAACGGCAAAGACCCCCTCCTCAGTTGTACACATACAGTATCCTTCAGAAAATATATAAATAACTGTTATGTGCAATATGCTTTAAAACAATGACTTGTTACATTTAAAAGCCCCACAGGGACATTATGGCATCCTCGGCCCGACCTATGGGCCCTGCACCCTCAAAGTCTATGTGGCGGCTATAGCGGCCTCTCATGCCCCTATTGAGGGTCAATCGGTGGGCAGAAATAGTGCGGTCATCCGCTTCCTGAGGGTTGCTAGGAGGCTAAATCCGCCTCGTCTCCCTACCGTCCCTTCATGGGACCTGCCCACTGTGCTGAGGGCCCTGAAGGGCCCCGCTTTCGAGCCTCTACAGCCTGCCAACATTAGGTCGCTATCACTGAAGACTGCTCTGCTTCTAGCACTGGCATCAGTAAAGCGAATAGGGGACCTGCAGGCGCTCTCTATTAGCCCTGCCTGCCTGGAATTCGGGCCTAATGACTCTAAAGTCGTCCTGAAACCAAGGCACGTCACATTCGCAAGGTTTTATAACCTGGAAGTCCCGGCCTTGCAGGCCAGGGTCCTTTCCGCTTGAAGTGGCACGCGCTGTGTAAACAGATATGGCAGAGAGCCCTTGGCCATATCACGCCCAAGTTCTCTGGCATTTTTTTACCTGTTAGCTCTCGACCCCTGGATGTCGAAGTTACGGGAATACTCTGGAACAATTAACCAGGCCGGGTGTGACCTAGAAAGCTCAGCCTGTCTTAGCCTTGGGTTATTGTTGACTTCTCTATGAGCATTGGTTGCTTATGGAAGTTTATACCTTTAGTCGTTCCACTACATTAGCGCGACGTGATTGTACTATGTTCTCATATGCGTCTTAAGCTAGACGCAGTACGAGTGAAGTTTCGAAAGGGAACGTACTCTGTTACTAACGTAACCTTGGTTCCCTGAGATACGGGAACGAGTACTGCATTGCTTGGTGAATGAAAAAAGGCTTCAGTTCAGGAGAAAAAAGGCTTTTTTCCCATATGCGTCTTAAGCAAGACACAGTACTCGTTCCCGTATCTCAGGGAACCGTGGTTACATTAGTAACCGAGTACGATTTCTAATTTAAGTGGTACGTATCTTTACCATATTCTGTTTTCCATAATTTTCTGGATTCCATTAAATTTTAATAATCAAAAGCATCTCCAATTAATTGATTTTTTTTATATATATATATATATATATATATATATATATATATATATAAAGCTATTTTGTATGTAATGTATGTGAGTCATTTCTACTGCAAAAACAGTTAGTGTCAAAAGCTATTGCATGAAAGCTATAACAGATAAGCTGTAATTTAGTCTGTAGGGTGGATGTCCTATAAGGAGGGTGGTGTGACTTGGGTCCAGGCTGTAGGAAGGCGTACATGTGCTAAACTGTCATATTGTGAAGCCTCATGCACCTCAGGCACAGCAGTGGGGTCATATAAAGGAGAGCCAGAAGAGGGCGCTGTGGCCGGGTGAGCCAGGCTGCTGTAGTGACCAGCAGAGCCCCGGAGGAACTGGGAGCCCAGACTGCTGCTCATACTTCCAGTCTGAGACACTGAGGTCAAAGGTGAGCTCCCTACGGACCACAGGCTGGTGTACTGACTGCATACAGGACAACAAACAATAATGAGCTTTCAGCGCTATACAACATCACGTTAATTTGAATTTAACAACCCGGAGGAAAATAGTATTCATCAGAGTAGGGGTTTTCAAGCTAGAAACACACAGGAGTGTGCAAGAGTGTGCTTGGGTGTCCACAGAAAACTTGAGAGGAAAAAAGAGTTTTAACTAGAGCTTTTTAAACTTTTATAAATTAATGTATTAACCCTATAAAGCTTACTGTATGATATTCAAAACTTTCTAAGGCCTCTACATTTTTTAATTTCAATTTTATTTTTTATAAAGTAAACATTAGAATAACTTTTGTATTGTTAATATTTCAAGATGAACACTGGACTGAAGCAATGTAGATTTACTTGAATATCCATACATAATGTGTTTATACTTTTTTTTTTTTAAATATGAGCATCAAATATGATACAGTTTGGGCCCCCAAATAAAATGATGTTTTTTCCTCCTTCTGTATGAGCTTCATATTCTCCTATATCATACTGTATGAGCCATTAAAGCCTGATGTATCAAATACGATAAAAAAGCAAACTTTTCTCATTTTCATTTTTCATTCTGCTTTTAAATATTGGTCCGAAATCAAGACATTAGTCACAACTATATTATTGATTGCCTGGGCTTTTAACAGTAAGAATAATAATAAAGCTTTATACATTATATAACATTACTCAGATTTTGTCTTGAATTAATTTGATATGCTTGAGTTCATACTGAGATATTGTTCCAAGCCCTTCTGAAACTATAGAAGAGATGTGAGATTACTGGTGTTTTTTTTTTAATTCATTTTTATTTTATTTTATTTTTTTCTAATGGGACAGCAGGGAACTTGTTTAATGAAAACAACGTTTAAGACTTAAGGAAATTCCTGTGGTGTGTTGTTAATTACGTACTTATAAATAAAAACATTTTTGTTCCAATAAAGTTGTAGTGGAAGTGTGTGATGTGGTAAAAGAGCCTCACTTAGTGTTTGAGTTTGGTGGAGAGCTGTGGCCCATCGGGAGCACACTGGAGTGGGAGGACATCTGCAGACCGGACCAGTTATCATGAGACGACAGCATGGACAGACAAGTGGAGCTGTCAGAGTAACCATCTGCAATACAAACGACACACAGTAAGAATCCAGTCACACAGAAACCAGGCTGAGGCTTCAAAAGCCAGTGCGGGTCAGCATTCCACCACCAAAGTTCCCCTGTTTATGAGCATGAACTCAAACACAAAAGCTGCAAGAATGTCAGGCACTCGGTGAGTAGAACTTGTTTGAGTGGCTCACTAAAGGAACGGTTCACCCAAAAAAGAAGATTCTCATTTATAACCCTCATGGAACAAGCTTAAAGGCCAAACCTTAAGCAGGATCTTCAATATCTCCTTTCCATTCAATGAAAGCAAAGAGCCAAAGGTGCCATAAGGTCCAAAAATCAGTTGTCACCAGAGGCGGACAGTAACTAAGTACATTTACTTGAGTATTGTACTTACAGTAAGTACACTTTTTGAGTATCGGTACTTTACTTGAGTATTATTTTTTCTGGGAACTTATGACTTTAACTTCACTACATTTGAAAGACAAATATTGTAATTTTCACTCCACTACATTTCTATCAAAGTCCTCGAAGTAGAAAGTCGTTACTATGTAGCAGCCTTGAAAGTCAGTGGGTGATTTCTTTCTTCTCTAAAACATGGCTTTCTTTTTTTCAGACAGTTTATCAGTAATCACTCTTGTGGGACTACATGAAGTGATTTCCCAGCATTCTTTGAACACTGACCAGCTGCAAATGTGATATTTATTTATAACAATTCAATAATAAGAAGTTAATATTGTGGTATATATTAGACACAATATTGTCTGATTTTGCTAAATTGTGTAGGTGAAAATATTACCTATAAAGCCACAG